AATTTTGGGTGTACGTCATTATCCTTTGATTTCTGTGTAGATTACATCATGTTCCCACCCAAAGACTAATTAGTCTATCACCAAACACATGTACCTAATCACCCCTTTCACCCTTCTCTCTCCCCCTTTCTCTGGTAACCACCAATTCAGTCTCTGTCTCTATGTGTTTGTTTGTTGTTGTTTTTATCTTCTATTTATGAATGAGATCATGTGGTATTTGACTTTCTCCCTTTGACTTATTTCACTTAGCGTAATACCCTCAAGGTCCATCCATGTTGTCACAAATGGCCAGATTTCATCCTTTTTTATGGCTGCGTAGTATTCCATTGTGTCTATATACCATATCTTCTTTATCCTTTCATCCCTTGATCAGCACCTGGGTTACTTCCAAGTCTTGGCTATTGTGAATAATGTTGCAGTGAATGTAGAGGTGCATATATCTTTATGCATTCGTATTTTCATGTTCTTTGGATAAGTACCAGCAGTGGAATAGCCGGATCATATGGTAGTTGTATTCTTAATTTTTTGAGGAATTTCCATAGTTTTCCATAGTGGCTGCACCAGTTTGCACTCCCACCAGTATATGGGAGTTCCCTTTTCTCCACATCCTATCCAACACTGGTTATTTCCTGTCTTGTTAATTATAGCGATTCTGACAGGCATGAGATGATATCTCATTGGAGTTTTGACTTGCATTTCCTTGACATTTAGTAATGTTGAACATCCTTTCATGTGCTTGTTGGCCATCTGTATATCTTCTTTGGAAAAATGTCTGTTCAGATCTTTTGTCCATTTTTTAATTGGATTGTTTTTTTGTTATTGAGATGTATGAGTTCTTTATATATTTTTTATACTAACCCCTTATCAGATATACAGTTTGCAAATATGTTCTCCCAATTGTTAGGTTGTCTTTTTGTTTTGTTGATGGTTTCCTTTGCTGTGCAGAAGCTTTTTAGTTTGATGTAGTCCCATTTGTTTATTTTTTCTGTTGTTTCCCTTGCCTGGTCATACATGGTACTTAAAAATATGCTGCTAAGACTGATGTCAAAGAGCATGCTGCCTAGGTTTTCTTCCAGAAGTTTCATGTCTTACATTCAAGTCTGTAGTCCATTTTGAGTTACTTTTTGTGTGTGGTGTAAGATAATGGTGTACTTTCATTCTTTTGCTTGTGGCTGTCCAGTTTTCCCAGCACCATTTATTGAAGAGACATTCCTTTCTCCATTGTATGTTCTTGGCTCCCTTGTCAAAAATTAGCTGTCCATAGATGGGTGAGTTTATTTCTGGGCTCTCAGTTCTGTTCCATTGATCTGTGTGTCTGTTGTTGTGCCAGTACCATGCTGTTTTGCTTACTATAGCTTTGTAGTATATTTTGAAATCAGGGAGTGTGATACCTCCAGCTTCGTTCTTTTTTCTCAGAATTCCTTTGGCTATTTGGGGTCTTTTGTTGTTTGATGATGACCTTTGAAGCACAAAAGTTTTTCATTTCTATGAAGTCCAATTTATCTGTTTTTTTCTTTGGTGGTTTGTGCTTTTGGTGTCATATTTGAGAAACTAATCCAAAGTCAGAAAGATTTATACCTGTGTTTTCTTCTAAGGGCTTAATAGTTTTAGCTCTTACATTTAGGTCTTTGATCCATTTTGAGTTAGTTTTTATATATGATGTGAGGTTGGGACTCCATCTTCATCCTTTTACATGTAGATGTCCAGTTGTCCCAGCACCATTTGTTGAAAAACTTATTCTTTTGCCCATTGGATTGTCCTGGCATCCTTGTTGAAAATCAGTTGACCTTAAATATGAGAGTTTATTTCTGAACTCTCCACTCTATTTTGTTGATCTATATGTCTGTTTCTGCCAGTACACTGTTTTGATTACTGTAGCTTTTAAGTAAGTTTTGAAATTGACAAGTTTGAGCCCTCCAGCTTGTTCTTCTCCAAGATTGTTTTGGCTGTTCTAGTTCCCTTGTATTTCCATATGAATTTTAACATCAGCTTGTTAATTTCTGCAAAAAAATGAAGCTGGGGTTTTAATGGGAATTCTATTGAATCTGTAGATCAATTTAACAACATTAAGTCTTCTGATCTATGAATACAAATGTCTTTCCATTTATTTAGGTCTTTAATTTTTTAACTTTATGCTTCTTTTGTTAAATTTGTCCGTATTTGTTCTTTTTGATGCTACTGTAAGTGGAATTGTTTCCTTAATTTCATTTTCAGGTTGTTTATTGTAAATGTGTAGAAATAGAATAGATATTTTTATATCGATCTGATATCCTACAACCTTACTGAACTTATTTTTTTTTAGTTCTGATAGTTTTTTTGTGTGTGTTAATTCCTTACGATTTTCTTTATACAGGGTTACGTCATCTGCAAATTGAGGTAGTTTTACTTTTCCTTTCCAATGTGTATGTTTTTTATTTCTTTGTCTTGCCTAATTCTAGGACCTTCAGTGCAATGTTGAATAGAAGTGGTGAGAGCAGACGTCTTGTCTTATTCTTGATTTTAGGGGGAAAATATTCAGACTGTCAATATGAAGTATGATACTAACTGGGTTTTTTATAGATGTCCTTTATCAGGTCGAGAAAGTTCTATAAACTAGTTTTTGTACCTTACTTTGTATTATGAGTATTTTTCTATGTGATTAATCTATCTTTGAACATTAATTTTTAAAGAATGCATATTATTCAGCCATTAAAATACCACATGTGTAGTATAATGTGGTTAAGGTTGTACTCCTGAATCAGTTTTTGATTTGAAGCTACACTTTGTCACTTACTGTGTTTGGAATGCTGAGAAAGATGTTACTTTGCTGAGCCAGTTTTCCATTATGCAAAAATGAAGGTAATGCTTGAGTACTCTGTAAAATAGGGGTGAGGAATCAATGAAATGTTGGATAGTTCACGTAGAGCACTCACAGAGTCGTACAGAAAGCACCTGGTGGATGGTAGCTGCTGTAGTTATATTTTCATTATATTATTGTTTTTGGGGGACATTTAGAGTGTTTATTTATTTTTTTATTTTTATTTTTTATATTTATTTTTAAGTGAGCTTTATTTTTAGAACAGTTTTAGATTTACAGAAAAAATTGCAGAGGTAGTACAGAACATTCCTGTCTAACAGCCAGTTTTCCCTGTCATTAGCCTCTTACATTTGTACAGTACATTTTTTACAATAAATGAACCCATGTTGATACATTCTTATTAATGAAAGTTCTTTATTTTATTCCAACTCTTATTACTAAAAAAATAATAAGATGCACAGTGATTTCCGGAAGTAGAGGAGATCTTGACTTCATATTAGAAAGTGAAGGAGCCAGTTGCCAATCGAAATTTATGCTATGCTCTGAGAGATGATTAGAAATTAGCTAGAAAAAGGAGAGGGAGATAAGATTATTCTAGGTACAAGAAACAGCGTGTGCAAGGCTCCTGAGATGAGAAACAGAATGTGTCTTTCATGAAATAGAAAGTTGATGTGACTTGAAGAAAGATAGTGCAGGGGGAAATAACATGAGATAATGCTAAGGAGGCAGGGCTAGATCATACAGGGCCCTGAAGATCATGGGATGGATTTCAGTCTTCATTCTAAAAATGCTGGTAAATTGTTGAAGAGTTTAAAGTATCAGGATGACATAATTACATCGCCATTTTTAAAAGAACACTAAAAGGGCTGCAGTTAACAAATGGGTAGATTTATATGAACTCTGGTGTCTACTTCATATATATCAAGTTGGCTCCTATAAACTCTGGGATCGCTAGTCAGGGCTCTACCACTCTCAAAGGTGGTGTGGTTTCCAAGACAGGTGGAGAAGATCAGCAGAGGACCATACTTTGCCCATGCCACTGCCAAAGCTAGAGTGTTTATTTTTATAATTAAAACCCTTACACTTAAATCTTTCTGCTTATTTGATTAGTTCTTTGTTCCTCAGACTGGAATAACTGAATTAACCTTTTTCTTTTTTAGGATGCTAACACCTATAGCAAATTCTTTTACCCAAAAAAATTTATCATATTTGAACTATCCAGTTGGGATGGGGATTCTGTGGGAGATCAAGTTGGAAAGTAAACTGGGGCTAGATTTTGGAAGGACTCAGGCAACAGTGTAAGAATCTAAGAATTTTGTATTTTGTTTTCAGACCCATGGAAGTCCATCGAAGGTTTGAGCAGGGGAGGGTCTTAGGGGTAATTTGGGAAGATTAATCTGCTGTGCCTCCGAGGTCTTCTCTGTCCATCCTTGACTGATTAGGGCATCCTGCTATGTGCTTACATGCTACCTAATATGTCCTCAATTATAGGATTTAATAGTATTTATGTAAATATTTGTTTAAATGTTTCACTTCTTCTGCTTCTTGAGAACCTGAGTTTACGTGTTGTATTCCCACTGCCGAACACAGTATCTAGCCAGCTCCTGGTGGTCTAGTGATTAAGATTTGGTGCTCTCACCACCCCAGCCCGGATTCGTTTCCGATCAGGGAAACCACACCACCCATTTGTCGCTTGTCATACTATGACAGCTGTGTGTTGCTGTGATGCTGAAAGCTATGCGACTGGTATTTCAAATACCAGCAGAGTCACCCATGGTGGACAGTTTTCACTGGAGCTTCCAGACTAAGACAGACTAGGAAGAAGGGTCTGGCCACCTGCTTCTGAAAGACTTGGCCGTGAAAACCCTAAGAATAGCAGCGGAGCATTGTCTGATATAGTACCGGAAAATGAGAGAATGGAGCAAAAAGACTGGGCAGGACAAGGTTGTAAACTATCATAATCTTAATAAAAAGACAAAAAAAAAAGACTGGGCAGGGTTCCGCTCTGCTGTACACAGGGGCGCTAGGAGTCAGAATCAACTTGATGGCACTAACAACAAACCAAAAAAATGCAGTATTTATTACATAGACACTGAGTAAAAATACTTGTTGAAGGAGTAAATGAATGTTTTGCTGTCTTCTTTTCTGGAAACTAAACTTGTTGACTTTTGTGTTCCCTTTATGTTTCTACCTGGGTTCCAAGGAGGAGGCATCTCCCTATTCCTTACTTGATATCTGCTTGAATTTCCTGACTACTCACCTTGAGAAGTTCTGTTCAGAAAGACAAGATGGAACGTTGTGTCTGCAGGAGCCTGGAGTATTCCCACAGGAGGTGGCTGATCGACTGCTTCAGACCATGGCTTTTCATGGTAAAAAATAAACAGAGGAAACAAAAATTATGTGCTGTTAATTGGCATTGGATTTTGCAGTACTGCTGTGCCATTTAATTATTTTCTTAGAAATAACAGAAAAGGCTAGATGAGCCTGATTCCAGGAAAAGGCTTTCATTTATTTTTGCCTTTCCTGCCATTTACTGTGTAATTTGGAATAAGCATTTTTGTTTTCTAATCTGGGCAAATCATTTCTTTTCTTTTTTTTTGCTTTGGGAAGCCATTCTCATGGCAAAAATAACTTCTCTAACTTCCAAAATATCCTTTTAGAAGTCTACTGGTATAAAATACCTTACATCTCTTTTTGGCAGTGGGAGAATCAATAAATACTGTTATGGAAAACTAGTTTCTGCTTTTGACTTTTGAAATCGGAAATAATAGCTAATTTAGTACTTCTATTTTCCAAAATGAATTCTGAAAATAAGTTGAGAAAGTCTTATCTGTGGAATTCTGGTTATGTATATTGAGGAGTTTTGGTACTTCTGTGTAAGTTTTAAGTTGAAAGACATGCAATACCCTTTGTATACTTAGGGTTTATAAACTCTTACAAGTAGGAAATATAATTTGTCTACAACTATAAAATAGAATGAAAATGTGGCAATAATAATAATTAGCACTTATTGATTGCCTGTTACATGCCAGGCATTTTATATGTTTTCCTTGAATTTTCTCAAAAATCCTGTAAAGTAGCTATTATTATCCCATTTATATACAGATAAGGAACTTGAGATTCAGAGAAGTAACTTGTTAAGGGTCACACTGCTAGTAAATGGTGAAGTCTTGGTTCAGATACAAATGTGTCTGATTCCAGATCTTTGCTCTTTTCACTGTGCAACACAACCTTCCTACACCTACATTAAAGGTATCCCTGTTCCTAGATGCCAGGTCATGCTATACGCTTGTATTGTAACTTTATATATACACACACATATATACATATGTATCAATCGTGAATGCAGAAAATGCATTCCAAGGAAAGATGGGAGAAATGAGGCTGTAATTGAGGCATTTTGGAATAATTTAAGAAAGAAGAAGACATCTGCACTCCTTGATTTTCACTGCTCAAGTCTATGGTCTCTTTGAATTCTTCCAACCTGCCAAAGGAACTAGGGTAAATTTCAGTAGGTACTATATATGTTAGAGGTCCCATACAAAACTGCACAACAATTTAAGAGATTAGGCCAGTGCTAACGTTTCTTTTTAGTCTCAATTTAATGATAATGCTTAGCATATTCAATTTAAATATATATACATATAACGAGTTTTATAAAACAAAAGAATAAAATGTTAACTAAAGTTTTAACTTTGCCAGATCCCTTTTGAAATATAGCTACTGATAGCTAATAATAGCAGCTAACATTTATTGAAACCTTGTAAGACATTGCCAGACACTGTGGCAAATACTTTCATATAGGTAAAATAATGAAAGTAGTTGTGTTAAGTAAGTGTAACTAAATAATTGTCCTCCAGAGTAGTATCTTGGAGAGGAGAGGTTATATGCTTGATCAAAATGTGTTTTCTGCTGCTTCTTTTCAAGCTGCCTTCAGATGAGGAAACTGAGGGTCAGAGAAGTAACTTGCTGCCCCTATTTGTGTTACTCCAATGTGATTATCTGCCTTATTCATCAAAAAGTGTTCTGAATTATTTAATTTCTTTGTAAAAATGATATCCACCTTCAAACAATCAACAGTGGATACTATTGATAATATGCAAAAGAACATATTGCCAATTCTTGTCACAATTTTTAAAAGCTGTTTCATAAATTTTTCTGTTTGAAAATTTTCATAATAAAATATTTGAGAAAGAAGTTGTTCCATGAATGCTTTTAAAATTGGTAATATATTTTTTAAATAACATAATGATTTTAGAAAATACTTAACATATTATTTACATTTAAAATCTTTTACTTATTTACCCGTTTTGAAGGATTAATGATATTGGTAGCAGTCTTTGTTAAAATAGGCCTGATGCTGACAAGTTTTATTTATTGGGATCTATGATTCTCGTGTCATAATCTTTGCTCATTCTGTGTCTCGGTGCTAAAGATTTTCCAGAAAAGGTGTGTGTAAGAGCCGGGAATCAGAATAAGAATTTTGCCATCTAATGATAATGCCTGTGTGTTATACTGTCTACCTAATCTAAATTGATGCACCTTGACATTTTCAGCCTTTTGGTTTGGGATTAAATTGAAAAGAGGAATATCTTTTGAAACATTATGGATTGTATCTTTGAACAGCAAAATAGATTTTCTAGGTGATTGAAGGTTTGTACTCCCAGACTAGTACCCTTTATCTGGGGGTCACTTATCTGACCACTTATTTTGGAAGTCACAATCCTGGTCAGCCCAGCTGTCTATAGCCTAAACCAGAAAGAAGTAAAACATACTTTGGGGCAAAATCTTTTTATTTAGGCTCTGTCCTTTACTCATTGAAAGAAGCCCTTGAGAAACCCACATTTAGAGCATATTGATTCTTTTTTAAAAATTTCTTTTTTTAAGATTGGCACCTGAACTAACAACCGTTGCCAGTCTTGTTTTTGACTTTCTGCTTTTTCTCCCCAAATCCCCCCAGTACATAGTTGCATATTTTAGTTGTGGGTCCTTCTAGTTGTGGCATGTGGGACGCCGCCTCAGCATGGCCTGATGAGCGGTGCCATGTCCGCACCCAGGATCCCAATCGGCCAAACCCCGGGCCACCAAAATGGAACAGGCAAACTTAACCACTTAGCCACGGGGCTAGCCCGAGTATATTGATTCTTAAATATAGACAGTTCTAATTACCTTGGTTCTCTGACCATAGCAAATTAAGAATTGATAATCTGAAGGGGACAGGCTGCTAACTAATAACCCAAGTGGATAGTGTGACAGGAAAGGAAGATTTCATTTAAATACAGTTAGTAAGTACGATTATTGTTCATGGAGAAAGACAGGTGATTCTTCAGTATGTTTCTTTTTATTTTTTTATTTTTTCTCTTTTTTTGTGAGGAAGATTGACCCTAAGCTAACATCTGTTGCCAATCTTCCTCTTTTTGCTTGAGGAAGATTGTTGTTGAGCTAACATCTGTGCTAATCTTCTTCTACTTTATGTGGGATGCTGCCACAGCGTGGCTTGATGAGTGGTGCTAGGTCCATGCGTGGGATCTGAACCTGGGAACCCTGGGCCGCCAGCAAAGCGGTGCACAAACTTAACCACTACACGACTGGGCTGGCCCCCCAGTATGTTTATTTTTAAAAGAAAGAAAAGGTAATCTAGAAAGATTTCCTTCAGATATGGTTAATGACATTTGTGTGCTTTCAGTTTGCAAGATGCTCTTTATGTATATTGCCTTATTTAATCTTCACAGCAATTCCTGTGAGGGAGATATAATTCACATTTTACAGATAAGGAATCTTAGACTTGTGGAGAAATTCGTGTAGTGTTTAGTGTCAACTAGCAAATAAATGTTGGAACCAGGACTCAAAAACACAGGACTAGTTTCTAGATCTGATGCTCTTTTTTTTTTTTTTTTTTTTTTAATTCCTTGCTCTTTTAGTTCTGTTACTCTCGAACCTAGGCGTTTACACTTATTCAGACTTAGTTATTAGAAAAATTCAGTTAATGTAGACTGACCCAAAGAGGTCAGGGGTTACCCATTTTACTAAATGTAGGTATACAGTCTCAAAATTTGAGAGCAGATTTCGTAAGGCACTGTGATAGTAACTATAAGGTTAAAATCAGTCTTAATTAACTGAAGAGTCTGAAGTTTCAGCTGTTAAAAACAAAACTAACATTTAAAAATATGTATGAATTTGGGGCTGGCCCGGTGGCGCAGCGGTTAAGTTCGCATGCCCTACTTTGGCGGCCCAGGGTTTGCCGGTTTGGATCCCGGGTGTAGACACGGCACTGCTTGGCAGGCCATGCTGTGGTAGGCGTCCCACATATAAAGTTGAGGAAGATGGCCACGGATGTTAGCTCAGTGCCAGTCTTCCTCAGCAAAAAGAGGAGGATTGGCGGCAGATGTTAGCTCAGGGCTAATCTTCCTCAAAAAAAAAAAGTGTGAATTTATTTTGTGGCATAAACAAGGAAAACATTGATCTTATCTCAGGGTCTCTTTTTATGTTTGATTTTTACAAGGGTCCTTAGTAGAATGTCCTTAATGTATTGTGAAAGGAGTTACTAGAAGATGCAGAAGCCCAATAAAAGTAAAATGTATGAGAAGGAAGCTCCAGAGAAGAAGAAAATTGTTGAACACCTGTTGCATGCCGGGCGCTGTGTTAGGTGTTGAGTGTACAATATTGAACACAACATGAATCTTGCCCGTCATGGAGCATATAGTCCAGTGGGAGACACAATTAAGAAGCAAACAAACCTGAGCTACAACTTGTGGTAGATTCTCCGAGGGGAAAAGAACATGGTTCTCTAAGGGAGGATAAAAAAGGTAGGCATCTGCTTTAGCTTGGCTGGTCAGAGAAAGCTTCTCCAAGGAGGCAATAACGAGGCTGAAACCTGCATAAGGAGGCAATATAAAGGTGGGGCTTCTTGGCACTGCCCAGGAATTCTTGAGTATTTCCTGATCAGCTACCCAGTGCTCCTAACGGTCGTTTCAGGTGTTCTTTGCTCTTCTCAGACGTTCTGCTATTTATCCTTGCCAAGAAAATTGAAGCCGTCAGATGGAATTCCCTTAACTCCATGTCAACACACCTTCAAGTTTTCCTCAGTTATCTCTTTTTTTAAAATTAAACTTTGCATTTTTTACATGTTTTATGTGTTGATTTACATGGAGTTATAATAAATAACACAGATGAGCCTCTTTCTCCAGTGGTAGTATCTTGCAAAACCATAGTACAGTGTGACAGCCAGGCTATGACATGATATGGTCGAGATTTCCAGCTCCACGAGGATCCCTCATGTGGCTCTTTTATAGCCACATTCACTTCTCTCCTGCCTCTTCCCCCTCCATAAGCCCTGGCAACCATTTCTGTTCTCCATTTCTATAATTTTATCATTTCAAGAACGTTGTAAAAAGGGAATCATTCAGTAGATAACCTTTTGGGATTGGACTTTTGGGCACAGTATAATTCTCTGGAGATTCATCCGCATTGTCGTTTGTGTTAGTCTGTTCCTTTTTGTTGCAGAGGGGTAGTCAGTGTTACGGGATACATCAGTTTGTATAACCATTCATCCACTGAAGGACATCTGGGCTGTTTGCAGTTTTTAGCTGTTATGAATATAATATCCAGTATTATGACTATTATTATGCTGTAGTCATCCATGTACAGCATATGTGAACATAAGTTTTAGTTTCTCTGGGATAAATACCCAGGAATGCTGTTGCTGGGTTGTGTGGTAGTTGCATGTTTGGGTTTTAAGAAGCTGCCAAATTGTCCTCCAGAGTGGCTGTACCATTTACACTCCTACCAGCAACATATGATTGATCTAGTTTCTCCACCTACTTGCCAGCATTTGGTGTTATTACTAGTTTTTTATTTGAGCCAATCTGATAGATATGTAGCCATTATTTCTTCAAGTACCTTTTCAACCCCACCCACTTTCTCCTCTCCTTCTGTGACTTCAATGACAAATAGCTCTGTTCAGTATTTTTTTAGTCTCTTTTTTTTCTGTTGCTTAGATTGGGTAACTTCTATTGTTTTATCTTTTAGTTCACTGATTCTTTCCTCTGTTCCTTCCATTCTGTCATTGAACCCAACCATTGTTGTATTTTTCAGTTCTAAAATTTTCATTTGGTTTTTCTTTATATCTTCTATTTCTTTGCTGAGACTCTATTTTTCATTTGTTTCAAGCATATTAGTAATCCCTCACTTCTGCATTTTTGTGATGGCTCCTTTAAAATATTTGTCAAGTAATTTTAACATTTCTGTTACCTCAGTGCTGACATTTATAGGTTGTCTTTTTTCAGTTTGAGATCTTATAGGTCCTTGGTACGACGATGATTTTTGATTAAAATCTAGACATTATAGGTACTATGTTATGAGACTCTTCTGTTTTAGTTTGTCTCTCACTCCACTCCAGCAGCAGAGGGTTGAGGCACTGCCTTGTAATTAGGGTAAATGTTCTGGTTTCCCACTTGATATCTGTTGACACCCAAGATGTGGGGCTCCTCACTACTCCTGTGCAGGGGTTGGGGTTCTGCTTCCCTATAGGACTCTACTGATGCCTCCCTAGCTGAGAGGGGTGTGACTACCTCATTTCCCTTCCCAGTTGGCTTGCACTGACACCATGTTGGGGCGCGGTGGCCTCATTACTGTTGGGCAGTGGTGAAAGTCGTGACTCTTCACAAGGCTTCCTATGACACCACCCAAGCAGGGAGGAGGAGGAGCACCTCATTGCTGCCAGGTGGGTGTGAAAGTCCAGGCTCCCCAGATGGCTCCACTGACGTCACAGGGGAGAGAGTGGCTCTTAGCACCCAGCAGGAACGAAAGCGCTGGCTCCCTACTATGCCTTCTCTAACACCTCCCTGTTGGGAGATTGGGGCAACTAGTTAAAGCCCAGCAAGGGTGAAAGTCTAGCCTCCCCTCTTGGCTTTTGCTGGTGTGAGTGAGGGTGGGGCCACAATTTTTTTCTGTGGTGTTTGGCTGAAGTAAGTTAGTTACTCTAAAAGTTTTCTGTCTTGCTAGTCTACCCCTCTCCTGGTGCTTTGGCTAGAGTGAGCAGATTTTTTTGGATCTTTTTTTGTCTGTTGACATTTCTGGGTTGCCAACTTCTTCAAGTCTGGGATGTATGGGGCAAGAACAAAACCCAGGAGCTCCACCATGTTGTTCTTTGGGTTCCAAGGTCCGTAGCTGGTCCATATTCTTCTCTTGACCTTTCAGAGTGGTCTAGCCCCAACTCACCTCCTCAGCCTCATTTCTTGTCTCACCTCACTTGCATATTTAAATCTCCAGAAATGCATCACATTCTCACTCATATGTAGGTCTTTATCTGTGTTCTTCTTTCCCTCTTTATCAGGGAAAGAATCATCTTATAGCTCTAGTTGTTTATGTTCAAGCAATATAGAACTACTAGCCATTTTCTAACCATGTGATGTGCTTTCATATCTCTAAGACCTTTTTTTTGCACTTTTTTATTGAGATTTAATTGACATATAGCATTTTATTAGTTTCAGGTGTACAACATAATGATTCGATAAATGTATTCTAAGGTTTTGTTTATACCATTTATTCTTCCTTTAATAGCCCTCACCTTCTTTCTCCATGTTTGAATTTTTCCTTCATCTTTGAAGGACTTGCTCAAAGATCACTTCTTCCATCAAATCTTTTCCAGATCTCTAGGTGTGTTGGATTGCTTCCTTTTCTTTTCTTCTATGTACTTAGTACTTGGCTCTGGTCTACCATATATCTCAATTTGAGATTTGCCATGTTTGAGACTTTTTTGCTCCATGGAATTTTGTATCTTTGAGTATAGGGGCATACCTCATATTTCTTTGTAGCCACAACATTTGGTAGTGTTTGACATATAGTAATTGTTTAATCAGTGTTCAGTAGATGGAACCCCCACCGTGAAATTTACCCCCTGAATTGGAGTTCAGCTAGTTTAAAAGACTGTCTCGAATAGACTGCCAATAGGAATATAACAGGAGCCACAAATGAGAGCCATGTCTCTCATTTTAAATTTACTAGTGGCCACATTTAAGAAGTAAAAAGAAACAGGTGAAACTAATTTTAATAATTTTATTCAACCCAATATATCCAAAATACCATTTCAACATGGTCAATATAGAAAATTATTAATGAGATATTTTGCGTTCTTATCTTTTTTGTACTAAATCTTCAAAATCTGGCCTGTATTTTATCCTTAGAGCATACCTCAGTTTGGTCTGTCTGCATTTCAGGTGCTCAATAGCTATGTGGGACTAATGGCTACTGTATTAGACAGCATAGCTCTAGAATAATGGAATTCTTTTTTTTTTTTTTTTAGGAAGATTAGCCCTGAGCTAACATCCGCTGCCAATCCTCCTCTTTTTGCTGAGGAAGACGGGCCCTGAGCTAACATCTGTGCCCATCGTCCTCTACTTTATATGTGGGACGCCTACCACAGCATGGCTTGCCAAGCGGTGCCATGTCTGCACCTGGGATTCGAACCGGCGAACCCCAGGCCGCTGAAGCAGAACGTGTGAACTTAACCGCTGCACCACCGGGCTGGTCCCTAGAATAATGGAATTCTTAACATATAATTAGTCATTTTTGTCCATTGTGACAGGTTTTGTAAAAGTTTTTTTTAAATTTTAACTCTTTAACGATAATTAAATCTTCAAAATCCACTAGAGAGCAGTGCTCCCTTTCAAAAAATACTTCAGTTCTAATTTAAGGGTGAGTGGCTGGCAGCCTGAGCTGTATCTTTAGTATGAGTCTGCTGAGGGGCCGCTTAGAGTTCTTCCCTTGACTCCAGTCTGTTTATTTACCTGGTGCCAACTGTTTGCTGGCCCTGGACTGTTCTTAGACTACCCTTGATTGGCATGGCTGTTATTTCTCCCACAGTCAGTGTTTAGTTGGTATGTGCTGTTCCTGGGGTAGATGTGGCCCCAAAGCATCATATGCTTCTGGTGTTATTAATTGGTAGTTAGGTAGATCTCTAAGGGACTTCAAGAGGTTACTGTGTCTACTTTATTTGAGTTCATCTGACAGGGAGGGACTATAACCTCTAGATCCTTTTGATGAGATTTCAGATCTAGCTAGTAGTTTAATAATGAGTTATAGACATTGCTTTATATGTGTGTGTATATATGTGTTTGTGTGTATAATAATGTATAGTGAATTTAAAGGATAGGCTAGAAATGCATTGGTAACATATTAACCCCCCAGATCCAGCAACTTAACACAAACTTTATACTTCACTCATGGTACAGAAGTGCTACAAGTCCATGGAGGGTTCTGGTTGATGGTTGCCCCGGGATCCGGGGTGGTGGAGGCTCCACGCTCATAAAGCTACACTGTCTAGAACATGAAGGCTCCTCATTTGTCATGGCAGGAAAAGATAGCATGGAAAATCAGGCACTGGCTCTTCAGCCTGTAGCCCATTGGCCAGAACTAGACACATGGTCTCATCTAAGTCCAAGGGTGGGCTGGGAAATGTAGTTGTCCATGTGTCCAGGAAGGTGAGGCGAACCAGATGTTAGTGAATATCAGTAATGTCTACCACACTTGCTACTTGCTAGCACTGTGATCTTGGAAAGCTACTTTTCTGAGCCCCATTTTGCTGATCTATAAATTGTAAGTAATATTTTTACCTCACTGAATTGTTATGTATATTAAATGAAATATTGTTATACGGGAGTGCTTTGGAGATAGAAAGTATGCTGGAAATTTTAGCTATTCCTTAACCATTTTTTGAAGCTAAAGTGCTGCTTGTTTTTTTTCCAGGTCTACTAAATGATGGAACTGTAGGTATTTTTAGGGGCAACCAGATGCGCTTAAAGCGAGCTTGCATTCGCAAAGCCAAGATCTCTGCTGTTGCTTTCCGGAAAGCTTTCTGCCACCACAAGTTGGTAGAACTTGATGCCACAGGAGTGAATGCTGACATCACAATTACAGACATCATCAGTGGGCTTGGCAGTAACAAATGGATCCAGCAGAATCTCCAGTGCCTAGTGCTGAACTCATTAACTCTCTCCCTTGAAGATCCTTATGAGCGGTGCTTCAGCCGACTTTCTGGCCTTCGAGCATTAAGCATCACCAACGTTCTCTTTTATAATGAAGACCTGGCTGAAGTTGCCTCATTACCAAGATTAGAGAGCCTGGATATTTCTAACACCTCGATCACAGACATCACGGCTCTGCTGGCTTGCAAAGACCGACTCAAGTCTTTAACCATGCACCACTTGAAATGTTTAAAAATGACAACTACTCAGATACTGGATGTTGTTCGGGAACTAAAACATCTGAACCATCTTGATATTTCAGATGATAAACAGTTTACGTCAGACATAGCTCTTCGCTTACTAGAACAAAAAGATATCCTACCCAACCTTGTCTCCCTGGATGTTTCTGGGAGAAAGCATGTGACAGATAAAGCTGTTGAAGCCTTTATACAACAACGACCCAGCATGCAGTTTGTAGGTTTGCTGGCCACTGATGCTGGTTACTCTGAATTCCTCACAGGCGAAGGACATTTGAAGGTTAGACTTTAAAAATGTATTATTTTGTCAGGCTGACCAATGTCTTAGTTGCATAAGACTCCTTTAAGATGAATGTCTAATATATGGAACAAGTTCATGAAACAGGTCATTGTATAGTGGAAAGGCCTTGCTTTAGAGTCAGAGTCCTAATTAAAATCCCAGCTTACTTGCTTTATGACCCAGAGCAAACTATCATGTAACTCTTTTGTTTCCGTTTCTTTATTAATAAAATAGATATCATTTCTATCTTGCAGAATTCTTCTGAAAATTAATAATTATACATGTAAAGTGCAAGTCACATAGTAGGCCCTGGATAAATGATAGTTCTCATGATGATAATGTTTAGATATTTTGAGCCACTTACACATACCATTTCTAATGGATCACTTCAAAGAAACTCCTTATTGAATCAAGGATCTAATGGGAGATCAAGTTCTCCAGGGAGATCTCTACTGTAGAAATGGTAAAATTTTGCTTTTCTTAAGGTTTCTCGTGCCTAATGGTTTAAATTCAGTTTAGCAAACATCCATTGGGCTTGGTACAGCTTGGGATTCAAAAATTAAAAAGATATAGGATCTGCCTCCGTGGAGCTTAGTCTGATAGGAGTGGTGATGATGTGATCACAGGTAAGGATACACTGTATCCTCTAGATGCTTTATATTGATAGGTATTAACTCCATTTTATATATGGAAAACACAGACTCATAGAAATTATATGATTTACTATTGTTCAGAACCAGTATTTGGATCTGCATCAGTCTTGTTCCAGAGCCCATTTTTTTTCCTTACTACCTGTAACACTTAAGCAGAAGCATCCTTTGTTGCTACCTGGCACAGAGTCAGGGAGGGCCCAGAAGTGGATATTGTGACCAAAATGGCAAGGTATCTTTTTTGAGCAATGATCACTGATCTCAAAAAAGAAGGAAAGATTAGTTATAAACATCTTATAAACATCTCAGTTCTGAGATTTGTAAATTTAGACTTTAAAAAATAGAATGTAGGGGCCGGCCTGGTGGCACAGCAGTTAAGTTTGCATGTTCCGCTTCTCGGCAGCTTGGGGTTTGCCGGTTCGGATCCTGGGTGTGGACATGGTACTGCTTGGCACACCATGCTGTGGTAGGCGTCCCACGTGTAAAGTAGAGGAATATGGGCACAATGTTAACTCAGGGCCAGGCTTCCTCAGCAAAAAAGAGGAGGACTGGCAGTAGTTAGCTCAGGGCTAATCTTCCTCAAAAAAATAAATAAATAAAAAATTTAAAAAATGGAATGTAGACGGGCTGGCCCAGTGGTACAGCGGTTAAGTACACACGTTCCACTTCTCAGCCCGGAGTTTGCCGGTTTGGATCCCGGGTGTGGACCTGGTACTGCTTGGCACGCCATACTGTGGTAGGCGTCCCACATATAAAGTAGAGGAAGATGGGCATGGATGTTAGCTCAGGGCCAGTCTTCCTCAGCAAAAAGAGGAGGATTGGCAGCAGATGTTAGCTCAGGGCTAATCTTCCTCAAAAAAAAAAAAAAGAATGTAGAAAATGATTAATGATTTTGAGTCACTTTCTTATTTATTCATTCAATAAATATTTTGTCAAGTACCTCTGTGCACTAGCCACTGTTTTGGACATGGTGGATTTGATGGTGAGGCCAAACAGACATGGTCTTGCCCTCATGGAGCTTGTAATTTAGTAATGGAGTCAAACATTCAAATATATGCTGTGTGTGTGCTTTAAATATGTATATTTGTGTATCATACATATGTATTTATATAATCTATGCACACATATATGCTTTAAACTGCTAAGAATCTGGAAGATACACAGTGCTATTTATGAGAATATTTACCAGAGAGACTCAACTTAGTTTAAGTCTTCTCTGAGAAGTTGATGAATGAGTGGAGATCTTGAGCAGCTTGGTTGACAACATTCCAGGCAGAGAGAATAATAAATGCAAAAGGTGTGTGGTTGGAGGGAGCGTGGTATATCCAAGGAGCTAAAAGAAGGCCACTGTGGCTAGAGCTCAACAGTAGAAAGTCAGAGTGATAAGATGAGGCTGGAGAAGTAGGTGCCAGGGCCAGGTGTGGCCAGGTCATGTCAGCCAGGTGCAGGGCAACTAGAAGTGTGAGGAACTTACCTAACAACTTGTTATGGAACGAGATAGATTTCAAGCACAGCGCTTGTTGATGAAGGAAGCATAAAAATGTAAATTACTGTTTTAATGTTGCTTAACTCTCTAACAAATGGATCAGACAGCGAAGAATTGTAAAAATTAAAGGGGAAGAAATCCCTGTGTGCTGGTAGTTGAGGAAGGATTTCCTAGAAGAGGTAAACTTGACCTGCATCCCAAAGGATGAAGGAAATGTGTTCCTGGTACATTAAGCTAAATAATCTTCTCAAGGGGAAAATCCTATAGTAGTTGTGATCCCAAAACAGTATGATTTTTGCTGATTCTTCTTACAACCAACAGAGTGAATTGCCTACGTTTTTAAATTGTGGCTAGTAGGACATCTGTATACCACAATGCTTTTGTGGAACAGTTTGATTTTACAAATGGAACTGTTACTGCTTTGAAATCTTGGCCATAGGAAGCATCTACTTTATTGGCCATCATTCTCTAATTTCCACCTCTGTAGACATTGAAGCAGTAATTCTCAACTTTGACTACAATGAGAATCACCTAGAAGGTAATTATGTGAGATGCTGGATGTGTTAATTAACTTTATCATGGTAATTATTTTGCAATATATACATATATCAACTCATCATGTTGTATACCTTAAACTTAGGCAATCTTACATGTCAGTTGTATCTTGATAAAGCTGGAAAAAAAATTTTTATTAAAAAAAATCACCTGGGGATCTTGGACAATTACATCAGAACCACAGGGAAGTGGGACCTGGGCATCAGTGTTTTTTAAAGCTCCTTAGGTGATTGCAATATACAGCCAAAGTTGACAATCATTGTTTTAAAATAATTTTTTAAAAAAGAGATCATTACAACTTTGCTCTTTATTCAACTATATGTAGAAATTGGTGTTCCTTTTAAATTATTTGTTTGAATATTGATTTGAGAACTGGAAAACAATAGGTCATGGGAAGAGAGGTGAGATTGCCATGTCTCCCTTTTTAGAATTGTCCGCTATAGCAAAGTTGATGGAAAAACTTGGCTGAAATGATTGTCTTGGTGTTGTGGTGCTTTTCATTAGTTTAGATTGACTTTTTGGCTTTACATGCCTCAGTTTTTTAGGCTGCACTAAAGGGTGCAAGAAATAGAGACAGTGTGACTTTCCAGTATTCTTTATAAGGCATTATGTGGTACTCTGAGTGGGTGGTTATAAAGAACAAACAGTCTGTGTATTACACTTTGATATGGATAACTTATTTTGATCTCTTGACTCTGTGAAGGAAGTATTCTTGTCCTCAGCGAGAGGGAATGGCTTTCTCTCTTTCTTTCTTTCTTTCTTCTTCTTCTTTTTTTTTTTTGGTGAGGAAGATTGGCCTCGAGCTAACATCTATGCCAATCTTCCTCTATTTTGTATGGGGGATGCTGCCACAGCATGGCTTGATGAGCGATGTGTAGATCTGCGCCTGGGATCCAAACTCATGAACCCTGGGCTGCTGAAGCCGAGCACATGAGCTTAACCACTACATCATGGGGCTGGCCCCAAGGGAGTGCCTTTCTTAAGGGTCACATTGATATTGGAGCCTGCCCTTGGGTCCTCAGACTATTTGATTCCAAAGCATGTGTCCTTTCCACCACATCTCATTGCCTCTGAGTGTCTTAATTGTTTGTTTTCCTCTCAGTTTATAGTCCCAACACAGAGGGTTTTCATACCATAGCATTTCCAACTTTGTCGTTGCTTCTTCCCCACCCAATTTGCTCTTCTGTCACCATCAGTTTCCTGAACCTTCCACTTCTCCACAACTAGGATTCTTAGGTTTCTTGGCCACCTCATTCCCAGATTCTGGGGTTTTCTGCCAAGCTGTGGTTCCCAGTTCCTGAGAATGACTGGAAATGTGCTAAACCCAATATTACTTCTCAGTCTTGATCTAAAGTGGCATTCGACACAGCTGATCTTATCCTCCTTGAAATACTTTTTTTTGCTTAGCTCCTAGGATATCACACTTCTCTGGCTTTTTTCCTACTTTTCTGACTACTCAGTCTCAATTTCCTTTATTGGTTCTCCCTCCTCTCTCAGACCGCTAAATATTGGAGTGGTGCATGCCTCAGTCTTTAAACCTATGTGCTGATGACTCCTAACTTTCTGTCTCCAGCCTAAACTCCTCCCTTGAACTAAGACTCCTATATTGAACTGCAGTACTCAACATCCAGTGAAGGTACATAGAAGTTTTTTTAAACAGAGGAATTGATCCATTTCAGAAAACGTTTACAGGGGCCAGCCCGGTGGTGTAATGGTTAAGTGTGCACGTTCCGCTTCAGCAGCCCGGGGTTTGCTAGTTCAGATCCCGGGCATGGACCTACACACTGCTCATCAAGCCATGCTGTGGCAGCGTCCCCCATAGAAAAAATAAAGGATTGGCACAGATGTTAACTCGGCAACAATCTTCCTCAAGGAAAAAGAAGAAGATTGGGAACAGATTTTAGCTCAGGGCCAATCTATCTCACCAAAAAAACAGACAAAACATTTACTAAGTACTTTTTAAAGATGCCTGAGTTAGTGCCCCTGCTCTTGAGAAATTCTAGTCTGGTGGAGAGGAGACACAAATTTAAAAATAGCTTTAATCCAGTGTGAGAGATGCTATAGTAGAGTTATGTACAAAGTGCTATGAGAAAATTTTTCCTTAAAATGTAAGTTTTAATGCATATATTAAATATTAATAAGGCTTATTTTAGTGATTAAGGACATTTTCTCTGTTTTAAATTGTTTGCAGAACTGATGTATACAGACACTTGTTTCTTTTTATCAAGCATATGAAAATGATTGAATTGAAGATGCTTATAGTTTGAGGAGCTGGATTGCTTGATTTGAGGGGTTATTACTGGCTAAAG